TAGACCCAGCCCTCTTTCCTGCCTATGCAGGGGGTCGGACTCGATGACCTATTGAGGTCCCTTCTGACCCTAACATCTATGAATCTATGAAAGATGTAAGGATAGGCATGGATCTCAGAGGCAAAACCTGCAGCAGCGGAAAGGAGGAGCAGGACATGAGGGAGAAGAGACAGGAAAAAGGAGAGAGTTAGGGAGGCTGAGGGAGAACAGCAGGCACTGTAACCACTCTGTAAGAAACTGCTGTAATAAAGACACTTTTTATTAAGTAGGGAGCTGTTCCTTGATTACCCAGACAGGGTCACATGAAATATGCATTATTTCTGCTCTGGGGAAACAAAATTGTTGTTTATTCACCAATGCTGAATAGCGGGGAGGAATCACTGCCCTTGATCTGCTGGCATCGCTCCTCCCAATGCAGCCCAGGATGCCGGTTGCCTTCTTGGCACCAAGGGCACGCTGCTGGCTCCTGTCCAGCTTCTTGTCCACTGTCCCTCCAGGGCCTTTTCTGCAGAGCTGCTGCCCACCCAGTCAGCCCCCAGCCTGTACAGGTGCATGGGATCGCTCCCTCCTCAGTGCAGGACTTTGCTCTTGTCCTTGTTGAACCTCATGAGATTTCTTTTGTCCCAATCCTCCAATGTGTTGAGGTCCAACACCTACCCTCCAGTGTATCTACTACTCTCCCCAGCTTGGTGTCATCTGCAAACTTGGTGAGGGTGCATGCCACCTCATCTTCCAGGTTGGTGATGAAGACATTGAACTATGTCCCACATGCTGTACCTGGGAATTATTCAAATGAACACTTTGCCTTGGACATATTTTGCCATCTAAGTTTAGTGTGTAGGCATCTTTGCCGCGGCTATTTTGGTGCAAGTGATATCCCAGTTGCCTTTTTTGAGCCTGAGTGAGTTAAAAGGAGCCGTGCTGGTGGCCAAAGACCTCAGGACATGCTGGTGTAGTGCCTCCTTCATGCTGGGTGAGAAGTTTTGTCCGGTTCTGGTTGCATCAGAGAACAGCAAATGGTCGATCAGGGAAATCCAGCAGCGGGAGCCAGCCAGGGCCAGGAGGTGTTTCTCCTTGGGCAGGACTACAGCCTGCAAATTCGGCCTCTCGGTGCCCTCCACCCTCTGTCCTACTACTGCTCTGCATAATGTGTCCTGTTTAATCCTGCTTTGGCCTCTTCTCTCTTGCTGCAGAGAGGAGGACATGGCCCAGTGGCTTGAAGTTGCAGCAAAGCACATTTAGATTGGAGATCAGGAAAAACTTCTTCACCGTCAGAGCAGGGAGGCATTGAACCTAGGCACCAGGGAAGCCGGGGGCTCTCCTACCCCACTTCTCCACGATGTTATGATTTCAGGCCCAGCCTCATGTATTTAATCCAGCTCCTTGGCTTTCCTAAACCAATAGGTGAAGGGCAGTGAATTCATTTAACCTTAAAAACCTTCTCAGGCAGAAGTGTCTGTGCACTGGGGCTGTCGGCTGCACGTCCACCCATGTTCACCCCAGTAGGAAGCAGCCATGCCGTGTGTCTGCACCCTCAGTCCCTGCTCACACCTTAGCCTTTTGTCTCTTCTGCAAATTGCAGAGGTGCTGGGACTGTCAATGCCTTTCAGACTCCAGCTCCCAGCGCCCGAGGCCCTTCCTGTCAGCTGGCAGCTCTGCATGTTTACAGTCAGCTGTGCAATCATTTCCTTTGCCCTTTGCACGGCCAACTCAGTCTGCCCACGACGCTGCTGTTTCCCCTGTGCCCGGCGCAGTGGCAGGCTTGGGAAGACGCTGCTGCCCGTGGCCCCTCTCCCCTGAGACTGGCTGTGGCGCCCCGTGGCCCCCGCCACCTCCCTGACCTTGCTGGGTTCCTTGGGAAGAGCTGCTCCGGCTGACCGTGTGCTGGGGCCGCGACCCCCTTTCTGTGAGCTGGGAGTCTGTGGGGTTCCTGCCTGGGGTCTCCTGACTGCTGCTGCTGCTGGGCAGGCCAGGCCAATAGACGTGGACACACACGACAGGAGCGGGTCTCCCTGGCCAGGGTAAGCCTGTTGCTGGGTCTCCGCCAAACCATGGGGGCAGCACGGACACATGCAGCTTGAGTGTCCCCCTGCCCCAGTCGGGGATGGGGGGGCAGCACGGCAGGTCCAGGGGTGATAGGACAGGGTGGTCCAACAACCCCCGTTCACCCTGCAACCGGGAGTGGAGACAGCCCTGATGGCCTCCCCGCTGCTCCACGGCCTCAGCAGGGTCCCCCGCCTGGGCAGGGGCACCGGGAATGCTGCATTTCCCACCGTCTCTCCTCTGCAGGGCACGTCCGCATGGCAGCACGCAGGGCGGGATGTTGGCTGAAAAGCAGACTCTGCCAGGCATGGCTCAAGGGGTCGTGGCAGCTCCCAGCCCCCCACCGGTTCCACGCAGGTGAGAGCGGGCCGTGGCATGTATCCTGGTGGGGAGCTGAGGCTGTGCGACTGGTCTAGGTCCCAGCAGCAGGTGAAGGGGGAGGTGACTGGCGCATGCAGGGACCTGCTCTGGGCAGCACGTGCAGCACCTTGCACAGGGTCAGCCTGGGGGTGCGCGGCTCAGGGGCAGTGAGGCTGCGGTGTCCCCATTTGGCTGCTGTGCAATGGCCGGTGCCAGGTGCCCACGACCGCCCTGCCCTCTTGCCCGCAGGGGGCTGCAGCGGTCCCGTGGCGCCGGCGGAGACCCTGTTCACCACACGTGCGGACGAGGCGGTGCGGCTGCGCCTGGACCCCGAGGGCCCCGGCGCCTTGCCCCCCATCACCGTGCACCAGCTGTTCCAGGCAGCGGTGGAGCACCACGGGGACCAGCCCGCCCTGGCCTACAAGCGGGGGCAGACGTGGGAGAGCCTCAGCTACCGGCAGTACCAGCAGCAGGGGCGGGGCCCCGCCAAGGGCTTCCTGAAGGTGAGCGGGCGCTGGGGGCTGTTACCCCAAAACCTTGGGTCAGGGAACCAGTGGGCTGAGAGAGAAAATACTTTAGACAGGAGTTCCCCCTCTACTCATGTAGGTTTATGCAGCCAACAGCCACACCCTTCAAACTAAAAGGTGCTAGTTTCCTTGTCAGTAAGTCTTGCTCCCTGTGAGTTGAGAAGACCCCTCAGGGCATATCCCCCTAGTTCAGCAGTCTGGCAACCCTTTCCTCCCAAACTATTTTATACTTTTTGTTTCCTGCATATTCATGGTTTTTGCTGCTGCTTGGACACAGCTGGCTATGTACACACTGTTTCTGTGCTCCATTTCTTACTCCTGGGCATTTTCCTGAAACCTTATCTGCATGCACATGCCCACACCCGCATGCCTCTTATCACCTGCCTTTCCTCTCTCACGCACCCTCCTCTGTGTGCACCCTCCTCCCCGGTGCCATGGACCATGTGGATGCTTTAACATAATACGTAGCTGCTTGCTCTGCTTTCACCAGGCAATGACAGCTGCATGTCTGCCGGCTGCATGTCCGCCCCCGTTCGCCCCAGCCTGGGCGTGCAGCAGGGTCCTGACACCGAGCGCAGCCTCCCCAACACCTCCAGTGCACGGGGACCCAGCAGCTCAGGCCTGTGTACAGAGGTTACCCCAAGAGGAGCAGGGTCCAGAGACAGAGGATATAGGGCAGCGATCAAGTTTCAGAGCAGATGCTGGTGCAAGCCAGCCCCTGTGCCCCCCCCAGGCAGTCACATCTCTGTCTGCTCAGCAGTGCAGCCCACGGCATCCGCTTCCTCCTTCCCTGGGGATCCCAGCAGGTGCTGGTCCCGCCCGCTGTGTCGTCTGCCTTGTCCAGACGTGACTTGGACCCCTTCTTCTGTCTCACCTGCTCACGGAGGCTGTCGAACTCCTGCTCCTGCGCCCGCCCTGCTCCCTTCTGTCCTGAGTCTGAATGGGTCAGAGCAGAGCTCCCTGCTGTGGGCAGAGTCCAGTCCTGCCCAGTCCAGCTCTCCTGTAGCAGTGACTAGGCCTGGGCCCTTTCCTGAGGTGCTCAGCAGCCCCCGCCTTGATGAGGTTCCTCATTATGATGGACAGAAATGCTGCACCCAGCCTGGGTGGGGGTCTTCAAGTGCCCAGGCAGCTAAAGCGGGGAGCTGGACAAGGGGTGATCTCCGGAGGTCCCCTCCAGCCCGGCTTTTCTAGGACTCTGCAATTGCTCGGGCTCTCAGAGAGCAGACAAGACAGCAAAGCAGGCAGCTAGGACAGCAAGAAGGGCTTCTGTGAGCACGTGGGTAACAAAAGCCGGCAGCCGTGGGGCCACAGCATACACTTGTAAGAGGAGAGCGAAGGTGGAAAAACTGCTCAGCAGCTCCTCCGCCCCGGGCTTTGCAAGAAATAGAAGCCGCCACCAGAGAGCTAATAAACATGATGTAGACAAAGAGGGGACAGATGGAGGGTCGGGATCGCAAGGAGTATGTCTGGCAGCTTTCAATGGGTCTGAATGAATTGAATGCAGCAGGGCTGATGTCCTTCATCCCAGGGCAGGGAGGAAGCTGTCAGGGGGGGTCGCCAAGCCCCTGGCCATGATATTTACCAGGCCTGGGAGATGGGTGAGGTACCCAAGGCCTGGAGAAGGGCCAACATAGTGCCTCTCTTTAGAAGAGGCAAAAAGGGGGATGCAGGGAGCTACAAGCCCTGTCAGCTGTCGCGTCCAAGGGCGCAGCACCGGTCACTACACTCTTCTGTGCTCTGAGCCATTTGGTGACTTCTGTGACCGCAGAGTGGACGCTTGGCGTCTTCCATCTGCCGCGATCTTTCTTTTCGGCTCATTCTCTTTCTCCTCGTCTCAGGCGATGCATTGCCAGCCAGGGAGTACAGGCCATCCTTTAGTGTGGCTTTACACATCCTGTTACTTCACCACAGCTGTTGTTTAAAGTTGGGTAGAGTTTCTTGGCAAGAGCTGGTCGTTCCTGTACTGGACATGTATCCCCTGCAGCGGAGTAACGCAAGGAGCAGAGCCTGCCTGGGACTCATTGTTCAGTGGGGTTTTCTGCACCAGTGCCGGCAGATAAGCCATGGCTGGGGCTGTCCTGTTCCTTTGGAAAAGCCTGTATGTATTTACAGAATAAATCCACCGCCAGCCCTCAGAGGAGATGGGTCACGCTTGAAACCATAGGGAAAGGACCATAGAATTAACTTCTTCAGGAGACTGGCCTAAAGCTTTGCTGTGGTTTAACAAAACCATTACTTTTCTCATGTCAGGCTGCCAGACTACATGGTATTTATTCCAGGCAATCTATTTTTCTTTTTACACCCTGATTTCTCTGGCCCGTGATGCCAACCTGTGCATATACCATCGCTGAATAGACCGCGTTGCTTCAGGTTTGTTTGGGGACTGCTCAGAAAGGCTCTTCTTCCCCTTTCTCCGGGCGCTGCTTGAGGCCAGCATGGCTGGGTCTATTGGGCTCCAGGTGGGGCGTAAGCCAGAGCTGCCCACCACCCTCCTGTGCGATGGTCGCATGCCCAGCGCATCCCAGCCTGGCCCTGTGTTGTTTGTCCTGCCTGACGCTGGACCCTCTCTGACTTCCCCACAAGCCTCTTAAAATGTGGAGCCCAGAGCTGCCGCAGTGCCCTCAATGAGGCCTAACCAAAGGGAAGCCCTCTACCCCCAACCTGGGACTTTGTCAGATGGGGCCCTTGCATAAAAAGAGAGTTTGTCCATCCATGTCTTCTCAAGAGAGTCACTCTGTTGGAAAGCTGGGCAGGCGTGTAACTAGGATTCAGTTCAGACAACGGACATACAGAAACATACGCCTGCCTGGGAGGATGGGTACAGACCAGACCCCAGGATGTCTGAGCTCTTGCTCAGTCTGTCCACCAGCTCGGGTCCATGAGTCCTCATTTCCCTCAGGTTTACAAACATAACCTCCCCTACAAGAGCGAGCAGAGGAGATCTACTCTTTGGTGATCTCTCCCTGTTTCCACTTTTTATGTGCTCCCCTTTTGGCCCTTAGGCTGCCCTGGATTTCTGTGGTCAGCCAGGGAAGCCTCCTGGCCCCTTTCCCTCTTTTACCTCACACGGGGATCGTCTTGCTTTGTGCCCGAAGGATCATTTCCTTAAGGCACAGCCACCCTTCCTGGGCTCCCATCACTTCAAAACTCCTACTCTGCAGTGCATCCTTGACTAATCGCCTGAGTTCATTGAGATCAGCTTTCCTAAAGTCTAGCACTTTCACCCTACTAGTTACCTTACCCACTCGACGTCTGATGGTGAATTCTATTATTAGGTGATCGCTGTCCCCCAGATGGCTACCGATCCGGAGGTCCCCTACCATGTCATCCCCCGTTGCCAATACCAGATCCAGCATGGCATTCCCCCTAGTGGGACCGTGTACCTCCTGTGTCAGGTGGAGGTCCTGGACACAGGATAGGAACCTGCGTGAGTGGTGGGACTTTGCTGTCTGTGACTCCCAGCAGATGTCCGGGTAGTTTAGGTCCCCCATGACTACTGCCTCTTTAGCTTTTATGGTCTCCGAGAGTTGCCTCAGGAGCCCCGAATCTCTTTCTTCCCCTTGGTGTGGGGGTCTGTAGCAGACCCCTACCACCAAATCCCTTTCTCCTTGCCCCCCATGTAGCCTAACCCACAATCCTTCTACCTCCTCATCCTT